AATAGCAAGTTTTAATTAACTTAATTTTAATTATAACCAATCTAAGCTATTAGAGTACTGAAGTGAAAAAATAATGAATAACCAAAAATTCTTAAAATAAAAACTTCAAAATTTAAATAACGAAAATTTCATCTCTTAAATTAATTAAAGAAATGTAAATCTAAATAAAACCTTTAAAAATGTTGAATTCTTCATTAATCTGAAGAAGCTTGAATGCACTCCTGGCTCTCCATCCTTCTTCCTTGGCAAGCCTGTAATATATGTCTCTTTTATCTTTTGATGACCTCCCCATGATGGCAGTGGCTCAACTAACTTTTAATTAATAATTAATTTAACTCACTAACTTGACTGACTTGAATATGAAAATCTGAAAAACAAAGTAATTAATAAATATTTCACGAATTGTTGGAGAAACTTAAAACGTAAGATTGAAGAGGTGAAAAATTGTAAGAGAGCCCAACAAAACACACAGCTAGCAGAAGAGAAAGATTAGTTAATTAGGTCAAATTAAGATATTTTAACTTAACCACAAATGAATATTGATATAAAAAACTTAATTGAATTTTGACAAAAATGTTAAACTTACCAAAATCAAATTTATCAAACAAACGTATAAATAAACATCGGCCAGCAATCGCAGGACCAAGGGTGACACATGGAGTTTTAGAAACATAAATTTACTTTTAACCCAAACAATAAATTGAAATTCACTTTTAGTTATAAATTTATAAAAAATTTTACCGTTGTATTTTAATCAACTTTTTTAGAGTATAAGGTGTTATATTAAAATTAAAGCTTTTTCATATAAATTTATATTATTTAAATATTAATTTATCTAAACTTACGGCGTATTTCAAAAAATAGTGCATAAAAATACATAATTTATTTCATAACAGCTGATCAGTTGTGGATCAACAAATCAATGTCAAATTGTAAGACTACAAAAGTACTAAGTGAAGTCAAGCATCATGTGATCGGTCGGTGATGATGGTTATTCTAGCAACAATAACAAACTAGTTTGGTCTTTGTTCTTTGTTTCCTTTATTTTAGATCTGGAGGGTCTACCACATTTATCATTTGTTAGTCACTACCATTAGTAGTGTTAGTAACTTGGCCATATAAAAAAAATTTAAATAAAAATTATATCAATTAATTTCATAATAAATTATGTAATTAAAATAAATGTTATAAATAAATAAATGATATATTTTATTTAATGAATAAATTATAAAATGATTATTCAAAATTTAAACTTTTAAGATAAAAAAGACTAATCTTCTCTACCGTGTTTTTGCCCAATTCTGGCCAAAAATGTGCATTTGTTTTATATATTTAAATAATAATATTGATGATGGGTCATCTTCATCGCCATCCTCATCAACTGCCGACTACCAACTGGTTGTGATCAACAACAGAGATGAATATTATGAAAGGCCAACAAAGCCAGCATCACTCTGGAACGGGTCTTGTATAAGTGGTTGGTTTTTTTTGGCTGTATGTTATATGTCAGTACATCAGTGCTATATGTTATATATCAGTGTACATATTTTATAACATAGTTTTATCGCCTAATCCTTGATAAACCTGAAAAGTCTGCTTAAGATTGTTTGATGCTGAGATATTGAATAATAATACGCTTTAAAATTTACATAATTTATTCTCCCTCACCTTAGGACTTGACCAGCAGGCCAATCGAGAAAATGGCACCTGGTTAGGTGTGAATACAATCGATGGTAAGGTGGGCATTTTGCTAAACATTCTACAGCCAAACTGTGATAGTACTAAGAAGGGGAGAGGTCATTATCATAATATTATCATTATTAATTATGCGAAAATATCAATTGTTCAATAATGATATGCATAATATATGATTTTAATTATTTTTATTTTATTTCATAATATGTGTTACAAATTGCAGGGTTCTTGGTGACCGATTTTATATCAGGAAATGAGGATGTCATTGATTATGCCGATAGGATCGCTAAAGAGAAGCACGAATATAACAAATTTAACTTGGTTCTCTTGCAAAAAAAGTAATCCCGTTAATCGACTAATTAATCAATTGATTAATTAGTTAATCAATTAATTGATCAACTAACTAATTAAAAATTAATATTACTAGTATTTTTATTGTTTTAGCTGTCATTTCAATTTCGGTGCTGTTTTATCATTATCATTATCTTGTTAAACTGTTAGTGGTTATGTTAAATAAATGTTATTACAACTTGTTTATTTATTTAATAATATTATTAATAACGAAAATGATAATGTAATAGGTAATAATTAAAATAAAAATAATAATAAAAATGAAGAAATAACAAGTGGCACGTCTTAATGGTCAGCACAGAGAGTAACGAATTGAAGGGAGAAACCCTCGATCAAAGTTTGTGTGTCTCTCTCTGTGTGTGTCTGTTTGTGGGTGTGTGTCTGTGTGTGTGTGTGTGTGGATGTATAAATATTTTTGTAATATGAAATAGCTATAATTATCATAATTATATTGAGGATGTTAAAACGATGATAAAACCGAAAACAACAAATCATAGATATCTTAGCGTTTGGGAATTCGGCATATGAACGACCTTGGTTGAAGGTCAAAGAGAGTAAAGTAAAATTTGAAGAAATCATCAAGAGTCACAGGAAGAACAATGACATCAGCGACGAAGGTGACAATAAACTGAAAGATGAGATGCTGAAATTGTTGACTGATAAGACTAAGTTCGTTTTGTTTGTGTGTTTGTATGTTTGCTTGGTTATTTGTTTGTATGTTTGTTTGTGTATGTGTTTTGTTGGCTAGGTATTTATGTCTGTTTGGTAATTTTGTAATGATTTCGTTTATTTTTCCTATTATCTGTCTTCGCTGTGGATATGATGTGTCTTTATATTGTTCATTATTATTGCTAAAACTTGTCACAGACACTGGCCTGACTGCCAGATACTATCTCAATTAAACCTCACTGGCAAATCTCATCAACAACAAAAACAACAACAACATCATTGTCAACAAAAACAAGAACATGACGCGAAAATGTATGCATTTGGTAAAAAACTGAGTTCTAATTTTGTAGAAGTTGCAGAAACAAAATATGGGACTAGGTCATTATTATTATTATTATCGTTATTAATTATATTGTCGTTATTATTATTCATTTTTATTGTAATTAGTTTTATTTATATTTTATATATATTTTAAATTCATATTACAAGCATACCTCACGTAATGTTTGCAGTGCTGATGTAATTTGATGCGGTTGCCCGTGTTGACGATCAAAAAATAGCATTTCATAATGAGTTATACTATAATAATTTTTTCATAATTTCATAATTTTTATAATTATTATTATAAATCAACAGAACTCACAGTTTGATTTTGATTGACAAAGTTGGTAAAGGTGAATACATTGAGGTCGATATGAGGGCAACATCAACGACTACTGCAGCTGCTGTCGCTACTACTACAGCAGCTGCAGCTACGACAGCTGAAGCTACTGAAGCAGCAGTGTCTCCGTCATGGGTCCAAAATGTTATAAAATTTCAATTCCCATCTTTGTCGTCGCAATGAGAAAAAATATTTAATGCATATTGTTTTTTTATCAATATGAATAATTTTTTCCAATCTTCTCTTCCGAATACTCGCTAATATTTTCATTCATATTGCTCTCAATCATTGTATTCTTTCATAATCATTGTGTGTGACTGTGTGTGTATGTGTGTGTGTGTGCACAAACTTTTTGTGTCTCATATACTCATTGTTGTTCTCATTATTCTTCTTATTATTATTATTATTATAAATTATTATTATTAATTAATTGATTATCAGTGACTTTGTTTAACTCTTTGGTGGCAAGACTATGAATAAGATCTGTTAATCTATATTAATTATATTATTATAATTAATATAGATTAACATTGGCAATAAACTTGACAGTATTAAAATTACGTCTGTGCGCGCGCGCGCGCGCGTGTGTGTGTGTGGTTGACATGGCAGTGCAATAGATCGTTTGAAATAATTGTCATTATTTATGTTTATTCATAATTCAGAATGAAATAATAAAATAAAATTTAAAAAAATATGACATCTTTTCTTCACTTGTCTGTCTGTCTTAATTAATTAATCAATTAATTAATCAATTAATTAATCAATCAATCATAATTATTACTAGTTTGATTGAAAATTTTTTGATACCTTAACAATAAGAATAATAAGAGTAATAATTATTTTTATGATTTATCAGAATAGTTTGGTATATATATTTAGAAAAATATTACAAAAAAGCCGTTAACCTTACTACATATACAAGGTTGGCACTAGAGAAGACAAACACACAGACACACACACATTAAAACATATAAAATTATCATCAGAATAAACACGTATGTATACAAGCAATTTATATACAGTTAGTCATATCTGGCCTACATGTATATATTTTCAAATTATATAGAAAAATGTTCTCTTTATTTCATCTCTCTCTCTCTCGCTCTCTTTTTCACTCTTTCTCTCTCTCTCTCTTTCTCTCTCTCTCTCTCTATATATATATATATATGTTGTAATATAATATATCAAAACTAATAAAATGATATTAAAGGATTATGTGACGACATAAAAGATATCTACATACGTATGTTGTAAAAATTCGGAAAATATAGATAGATAGATAGATCGTTGTATAAAATTAGATATACAAAAATATAAAATGTATATGATACCGTATCATCCTGTATTGTATTTGACAATGTGTAAGTTATGATACCATATCACTGTTTATTGTATTTGACAATGTAAATCTTGTAAATAAGTACTTTTAAAGATTTTATCCTTACGTAGAACTTCAGGCAATTCGAACCGATGAATGGAAGTATAAATGCATGAATAAATGCAGAAATCGATGGATAAGTTGATGAATGAATGGGTGAATGAATGGATGAATGAATGAATGGATGAATGAATGAATGGATGAATGAATGAATGGATGAATGGATGAATGAATGAATGGATGAATGAATGGATGGATGAATGGATGGATGAATGAATGTGTAGATGAATGGATGAATGAATGAATGAACGAATGAATGAACAAACAAACGAGTAAACGGATGAATGAATGGAACGATGGAAAGATAAAAAGTAAAAAAAATTGTAATTAATTTTAAAATTTTGATAAACTAAAATCAGAAACCGAAATACATCAAAAAGATGACTAACGCATAAGGAAATAAATGGATCTGTAACATGAAAAAAAAACAAGACTAAACAAAGATGGCAACAAGACAATATTTACAAAACAAAACAAAAAATTAGGAATATCAACAATGGTAGATAGATAGATAGATAGATAGATAGATAGATAGATAGATAGATAGATAGATAGATAGATAGATAGATAGATAGATAGATAGACAGATAGATAGATATATAGATAGATAGATACTCAGATAAATAGAGAGATAGATAAACAAATCTCGTCAACAACAACATCATCATCGTCATCAACTACAATAATTACGTCATTGTATCTTCAAATAAAATATCATTTCAGTAACAGTAATGGAAGTAATAGCGAATACTACAACAATAACAGCAGCAGTATAGTCAAATATCAAAGATGTGAAAAAACTAATTATACAAATAATAAAATAATAATACCATGAGCAATAGCACGCACGCACGCACACACACACTCACACACACACGCTAAGTACGAATCATTGTATCACACATATTGCAATATGATAGTCTGGGATCTGTTTGCATTCGAATCCAGTCACTGCGACATCAGGACCAGGCGACTTCAACCATCCGACCACCTGTTATTCATTATTCATCCTGTTTAAAACGTTGGGATTGTTGTGAGCCATGTTGCTCATGTCTTTGAAGACCTCCATCACTGTACTGTCGTCTGCCAATTTATTATTATTTCTATTATTATTATTATTATCATCGATCCTTTATTATTATTCTTATTATGATAGGTAGTAGTAGTAGTAGACGTAGTAGTAGTAGTAGTAGTAGTAGTAGTAGCAGTAGTGGTAGTAGTAGTAGTAGTAATAGTAGTAGCAGTAGTGGTAGTAGTAGTAGTAGTAGTAGTAGTAGTAGTAGTAGTAGTAGCAGTAGTAGCAACAGTAGTAGTATTAGCAGTAGTGAATAAATTTAAGAGAACCATATCGATTCAAGTATATACACATTCATGCATACATACATCCACACCAACATATACAAATACGCATACAAACAATCATATACACGCAGACACAAACATACATACAAATAGGTACACGCACGCAAGCACAAACAAACAAAAAAGTACAAACATACATATATACCTTGATGTACAAACGTTTGTTCATCATTGTTCATCTCTTCATTAAGTCTCATCAGTCTTAATCTACAATTACATTGTATAGTATTGTATGGTGTTGTATTGTATTGTATTTTGCATTGTATTGTATGGTGTTGTATTGTATTGTATGGTGTTGTATTGTATTGTATTCAGTTGTATTGTATATCGTATTTCAATTGTTTTGTATTGTAGTATTGTATGTATTGACTTGCATTGTATCGTAACACCTCGTATTGTACAAAGCTGTATAATTGCACGGTATTCCATAAGATGGTACGTTATAGTTTGGTATTTCATTACATGCTGTATTGTATGCTGTATCTAATCATTACTCTACACTATATCTAATCATTACACTACTCTGTGTATACTCTATCATCATATCATACTGTAGGGTATAATTTGGAACCTTTGAATGGTAGAAATGAATGGAGGTGAATTAACTTACAACGTGACGATATCGGCGTTCGTATTGTTGATGGCCATTCTGAGTGGATCCTTGAACGAAGGAAAAAGTTTTACTTTTATATCTGTTTATTTTTTTACTTATGCTTATTCCTTTATCATTCATTCATTCATTCATTCATTTGTTCCTTCTTCCATTATTTAACAAAAAAACTCAGTTTAATAATATTTATACTAGATTTTTTTAAATCAATAAAACACACACACACACATAAAAAGGAACGAATGAATGAATAGATTAATGAATGAATGAATGAATGAACGAATGAATGAACGAATGAATGAACGAATGAATGAAAAAGCGAATAGATGAATGATTGATTGATTGGATGAATGAATGGGTGCACAGACCTGCCCAAAGCGGTCAACCAGCAGGTGATTAGCTCTTCTTTTCAATAATTGCAAGACTTGGCTGTTGTGTGTGCGTGTGCGCGTGAGTGTGCGTGTGTGTGTGCGTGTGTGTGTGAACTGTTGACACAAATATAGAAAATTAACAAGGAAAAAATATCATTAAAAACATCCTTATCACCATCCTCATCATCTTCTTCTTCATCATTAACATCATCTTCATTACAATAAACACCATCACCATAATCATCACCATCCTCATCAACAACAACAAGATCATCATCATCAACAATAACAACAAGATCATTATCAGTACCTACCCAGTATGAGATAGTAGGACGGCGTGGTGCATTGCGGTTCGACCATCTTCGTCCACCTCATCCACTCTCGCCCCGTTCAATAGTAGGTACTCCAGGGCTACCATGGAACCCTTGAATGAATGAATGAATGAGTGAATGAATGAATGAATAAATAAATGAATGGATGAATGAATGATCGTACAAAGCAGAAAAAAGAATTCCACAATCATCCGTCGAATTCCATCTGCAAGCCAAGCGGTAAAAAGCCGGGCAGGAAACCAAACTAACAGCAAACACGGACTGCATCAGTGGAGTTCTCATTTTGTCAGTCGGATTGTGCCAGTTAATATTTGCACCGTGAGCCAGGGCTCGCGCCATGTTTGAGATGCTGCTGCTGCTGTTGCTGCTGTCGTAGCTGCAAGCGTTGCTGCTGTCGTTGCTGCTGCAAGCCTCGTACAAACGCTTGTTCCTTCTCGTTGCTGTTTTGGAATGAAAGTATGCACAACGTTATTGACATTACACGAACAACAAAACGTTAGCATTGACTCAAACATTAGCAGGAAAAACATCAACAACAACAACAACAACAACAACAACAACAACAACATCAACATCAACAACAACAACAACAACATCAACAACAACATCAACAACAACAACAACATCAACAACATCAACCAGAAAACAAAAAAGACCATCCATTGAGAAAATTTTTTAGCAAACTTTTAAACACCACCACCACATCATCATCATCATCGTCATCATCGCATCATCATCAACATCATCAACGGCGCTATCAAATTCTACTCGCCATCATCATGGCCATCTTCTTCTTCCTCTTCATCCTCATCATCAATGAACAACTTGTCAATGTACTTCGCTTTTATCCACCTTTCTTTGGTTGATCTGCATGCAATGTTGGTTTAATGCATGTGATATCCATTAACCGAATATTCATTCAATCAACCAATTAACCAATTAATTTACCAGCCAACTAACTATTCAATGAATTAATCAACTAATCAATCAGCCATTCAATCAATCAGCTAATCATTCAATCAACATAGCAATTTAAAAATATCCACAAACATTTCAACCAACCAATCAAACCAACCTATCGGATTGGGAGTTAGGTTGTCGTATATTGAGCTTAGACCATTTACTGTTACCATCATTACTGCTGCTACTTTTAATATCATTACTATTATCTCCACTATTATTATTATTATTATTATTATTATTATTATTATTGCAACTATTACTAATACCACCAGGAGAACCGCCCAGGTAGATATTATTGATGAGTTGGTTGCCGAGATGGCTCATGACCTTGAGAGAGTCATCGTCCCAATCGTCCAAGGTCAGCGAGCGAACTTTCGAGATGTGCACCCCGAGGCTCCTGATGACGATGATGATGGTGATGACGATAGTGATGATAAAATAGTTGTTTTATCAGTCAGTCAGCCAACCAGCCAGCCAACCTCCCAACCAAACAACCAAACCCCAACCAACCCCAACCAGCCAACCATTACAACAAAACTGACCTATGAACTCCGGAACATTGTATGCAGAGTAGCACGCCGATGTTTATGCTGGCCCAGGTTGGGTTCTCGTGCCCGCATTCGCAGCAAGCATTGTTACCTGGCACCCTCACTAGCTTCATCACTTCGGATCTGAAAGCATTTCATGTACAAATTCACCACTAAAAATACGCGATAAACTTTAAAGATTGAAATGACGTCCTACCTCGGGAAACCGGGTCTCTGGACGCAAAACGAAGATTGATTGATTGATTGATTGAAATGATGACTAATAACAATGCATCCACTTGACGTTTAAAAGTTTTGCTACGGAGTATCAATTTTGTTTGTGTTTAAAAGTATCGGAGATATCAAGCTCGATACATGGTATCAGAAGTATCACCGATGCCATACCCAATACTGAAACAAGTATCACAGATATACTGAAACAAGTATCACAGATATATTTTCGCCGATAGCGATACTTCGATATCTACAATCCTGGTGTATGTGTAATAATAATTATAGACACATAGCAGGGACAACTAACTTAGGCACTTTATTTTTAGAAGGCTGTGATGACGTCACAACAGTTGAGGATGACGTCGACGACGATGACGACGATGGCGTTTTGGCGAGGAACGACGTGTAGTTGTTCGCGTGCGTGCAGTACAATTCATTCAGCAGAGCGTCTTGCGGCCTGGAGCGTTTCTGTATCGCCATTATTATTATTATAATTATTATTATTATATTATTATTATATTATTATTATTATTTATTTATTTATTTACACTCTTAGATATTATTAATAATTTTCGATTGATTTCGTTTTGATTTTATCATTTTTCGGTCAATAAAAGGTTGTTCCCATTATTATTATTATCATCATCATCATCATCATCATCATCATCATCTCTTCTTCTTCATCATCATCATCATGTTTTGTCATCATCACAATCATCCTCCATATGATCGTAAAACTCACATTCACTCACCCACACATCGGAACATTTTTTAACATTATACCGTAACCGCAATGAGATTATTAACATTGCTATCCAGAATAATATCACTCGTCTACTTACAGTCATTCTCTCTCTCACTTACTCACTAGCTCACTCACTCACTCACTCACTCGCTCGCTCACTAACATTATTACGTGATGAGGAGGACGACGATGACGATGAGGAGAGTCTGCTGTATGCCTCACCAACTCCTGATTGCACACTCCTCATCCACTTTTCCATCATTTCTTCACTCTCACATTGGAGAATATGGCTCCTATGTGTGTGTGTGTGTGTGCGTTTGTGCGTGCGTGCGTGTGTGTACGTATCCATAATGTAAATATAATGGTATAACCGTACACGTAGGTGTATGCGTGTTGTATTCACAACAGAAATGTACCACAGGTTTTAAGGTTAGAAAATTTTGTTCAAAATCAGAAAATCTCAGACACATACATACACACACACCAGCAAACACATACAACCAAACACACATACACACACACACAAAAGCGTGACCAACTTGTGTGGCGATATGACGACGAAACAAAACCTCCTGTCCAACTGATCGCACGTCCTAACACTGCACAATCTCAAATCATCCTCCATTATCGTCCAACCTTCGTTAGCTGCAGCAGCTGAAGTAGTAGCTGCCACAGCTGACGAACCGGCTGCAGCAGTAGCTGTAGCCGCTGCTGTCACTGCTGTTGAAAGGATAGTTTGGGGTTTTAAGGCAGCTAATGAAGTATTATTTGCGTTGTTACTACCGTCAATACTATTGCTTATACTGTTGTTATTGCTTTTGTTACTTTCCGTATTATTATTATTATTATTATTATTGTTGTTGTTATTGATGTTATTATTATTATTATTGTTGTTATTGTTGTTATTATTATTATTATTATTGTTGTTGTTGTTGAGATTGTCAACGTAAAACGTACAATTCTTATTGGATTGCGAGTCGATGTTGTTGTTAGCATTGTTGTTATTATTATTATTAAATTTGTTGTTATTATTGTTGTTATTATTATTGTCGTTGTTGTAGTTGTTGTTGATGAAGGACTCGCGCTTGCAGTACATGAGCTTATTGTCGTGAATCTTAAACCAACGCCTGCCATACATTAGTAACAATAATAATGATGATAGCACTACTACTACTACTACTACTACTACTACTATTACTAATACTACTACTACTACTACCACTACTACTTAACTACTACTACAACTAATAATAATAACAACAACAAAAAAAAAACATAAAACTGATGCCCTACCTGACCCAGGTTTTGAAGGTATTAGTGGTTCTCTTGAACAAGTAGCCTTCCATTTTTAGCGGTTTCCTAGAAATGACGTCAACATCCTTATCTGAAACGTCAGTGTCCTGCGTGTGATGATGACGATGATGAAGAAGAAAAAGATGATGAACAGGAAGAAGATAAAGATGAGGATAAAGATGTAAAAAAGATGATGAAGAAGAAGATGATGATGATGATGACCTAATGACGAAGAGGATAAAGAAGATGATGAACTGATGGTGATGATCTAATGATGGTGATGATGATGATCTAATGGTAATGATGATGATGATCGCATGATGGTGATGATGACGATGGTGATTGTGAAGATGAAGAAGATGAAAAAGATGACGATGGTGATGATGAAGAAGAGGACAATGCTAATGATGGTGATGATCTAATGGTGGTAATGATGATGATGATCTTATGGTAATCATGATGATGATCGTATGATGATGACGGTGATGAAGGTGAAGCAGTCGAAGAAGATGACGAAATGATGAGAGGACAGCAACAACTACAATAACACCATCATCATCATCATCAACATCATCAACATCATCGTCATCATTATCGTCAAAAACATCATCAACAACTAACACATTGCAAATTTTGTTGTTGATGTTGTTGTTGAACGTTCATATAGTATTCCTCCATATTTCTCTGCTCTAACACTGAATCAGCATTCAGCTGTTCAACCTTTCAGAATCGTCATCGTCATCATCATCATCATCGTCATCATTACCATGATCACAAAGGCATCACAACATCATCGTCATCCCCATCATCATCATCATCATCATCGTCATCATCATCATCACCACCTGATTAGAAACAGATTTTAGATAGGAATCGAAATCGCTGAAGAGTTCCATGCCCTGGTGGAAGAATGTGTGGTGGCCATAGAGGCATCCCAATAACTGGATGAATGAATGAATGAATAAATGAATGAATGAATTAATTAATTAAAAATTATTACATGAATGATTGAATGAATGAATGAACAAACGAACGAATGCATGATGGCTTTGAAGGCAACTACTGAATGAATGAATGAATGAATGGATGAATGAATGAATGATGATAATAATGATAATGATTATGAAACCAGAAATAGAAAAGAACGCACGGCTGTTAACACTTGAGACTTTTTCTTGGAATTAAGAATGTTCATCTGTTTTTTCGAGAGATAGAAAGAGAGAAAGAACAAAATTAACTCCTCCCATCG